TTTTTTTTTTTTTTTGAGAAATTATAAATGTCCATATAAGTATGAGAAACTTGTACACTGCTATAGAACGGCTGAGCTTGTTATTTTTATTATTATATTTGTTATCATCTAAACCTGAAATTTTTTCTTTTTTCATTTCATTGATTTAGTTTTCTCTTTTTATAAGAATTTTATGTTGTTATCTATTGAAAAAGATAAAGAAATAGTACATCTAGCAACGGGCAGTGAATTATTTTTTTAAAAAGTGTATGTAAGGGGAAGGAGAATAACTAATAACATTTGTCTTTTATTTTCAACCGTTAGATTTTGTTTAATTAAAGTGAATCTAAAGGCTGAAAATTTACAGTTGGGGCTGCTGTTAGTTGGTCACAGCAGCCCCCCTCAACCCTTGTGGAAACCTTACATATAAAAAAGGTACCAACGCCACTCAGTTCAAATTCAGACAAAACTCTTCTGTCCGAATCCTTTCATTTCCAATTCTCTCTCTCTCTCTTCCAACTTGTTCATCCAAGTTCTCTGCCAAGGTAATCGCATATCTTTTGATTTATTTTGTGCGCTAATCATTATTTTATTGGAAAATTTTGAACGGTACCCTAGTTTTGCTAACGCTGTTGGGCTTGATTTTTCCTCGCGTTAGGGTTTGGACTGCGAAAATGGAACATGAGGAGGCTTCACAGAGCGTTAGGGTTGCGGTCAATATCAGACCACTCGTGACCTCTGAGCTTCTTGTTGGCTCTACCGATTGCATTACTGTCTATCCAGCGGAGAAACAGGTACGTGTATTTTCATGGGAAATTATAGCCATTTTTATTTGTATATCAATTAGGGTTTTTGCTTTCATATCCATCACTATAGCTATGTGTATTTTCTCTAGAATTTGGCAAGTAATTTTCTGTCAATTTTTCATTATGGAGTTTATTTTTACGCTCTTAACTTCTGTTTATGGCTTTTATGTGCGTAACTATAGCAGTGGGTTATTTTATATTTTCTTCACTCAGTTATGCGAAACCGAGTTCACCTGTCGTTTTATATGTGTAGTTTCCCCCGAATCGAGATTTAATGTCATGTTGACTTGGTGTTCTATGGTGCAATTGGCTGCAAGCAGGTCCAAATTGGGCCTCATGCATTTACATTTGACAACATATTTGGTGGCAACGCCTCGCCATGTTCCTCAATTTTTGAGGAATGTGTTTCTCCACTTGTTGATGCCCTATTCCATGGATATAATGCCACAGTACTCGCTTACGGTCAGGTAAATTTCAATATTTGATTTGCTCATTTTCCCCTTAAATTTATGACAATTTTTTTTTTTGCTGTTGTAAGTGTTGATCGTTGCTGCATGATCTCCTCTTTTCATTTTGTTATTTAATTGTAGACGGGGTCCGGAAAGACATACACAATGGGTACGAATTACAACGGCGAAGACCATAGCAGCGGTGTTATTCCCAAGGTGATGGATAAAATTTTCTCGACAGTGGAGACAATGAAAGAGTCCACAGAATTTCTCATTAGAGTGTCCTTTATTGAGGTATCATATGCAAAGTTTAAATTTCAGTATCGAACATATTTCATTTTTCAAGTTGGTTAACAATCAAACTTAATACTGCAGATTTTCAAAGAAGAGGTGTTGGACTTACTCGACCCAAAGAGTACTACTATACAGATTAGAGGAAGTGTGAGTGGAGGGATTACACTTGAGGGTGTTACAGAGGCAGAGGTGACGACAAAGGAAGAGATGGCTTCACGCTTGCTGAAAGGTTCATCACGTCGTGCCACAGGGAGCACAAACATGAATACTCAATCGAGGTGCCTTTCTCTCTACTTCATATTTAGTACTTTTCAGTTAAGTTAATCAAGTCGTTCATGTAAGCAAATGAAGTTGATTAGCTCTGATCATCATGTTTCCTTTCTTAGCTAGCTACAATTTTAAAAGTGAGGTAGCATCAGTTTATGGATGATTATTTTTAGCATTATTAATGGAGCAGTTTGTTTGAATATGAGAGTCCAAAAAGTTTGATTTCAATTTGCATAACATTCTTTTTACCAATATTTTCCTCTCAGCCGTTCACATGCCATTTTTACTATCTCAATGGAGCAAAAACGAACACCTCAAACTTCAGCTGGTGATGATGCTGATGATCTTTTGGTTGCGAAGCTTCACTTGGTAGATCTTGCCGGCTCTGAGCGTGCAAAACGAACTGGTGCAGATGGGACACGCTTGCAAGAAGGTAATTATTTATGTAGTATGTATGTGTTCTTATTTTTCATTTATTTTCTTTTCGAGCTTTCCCTTGTTTGTGATATTCTTTACAGTTCACCTATGTAATTGTATGCATGCTAAGTTATTTACTTATTTTTTTTAAATAAAAACTGTGAATTATTTTATCTTTATTTTCATTGAACATTAAACAGCACGACACCTGATATGATTTTGGTTTCCCGTGTTCTTCTTTTGACCAGTCTGCTTGAAGATTTATTTTGAGATACATGAGAACATCTTATCCTAAATCTTGCTTTTGGGTTTGTCAGTTGTGGATGACTGAATTATTCAACCTTCTATTTTTATGTACCCCAGGTATTCATATCAACAAGGGTTTGCTGGCTCTTGGTAATGTTATTAGTGCCTTAGGGGATGAGAAAAAACGAAAGGAGGGTGGTCATGTTCCTTACCGTGACAGCAAGTTAACACGGATACTGCAGGCAAGTTAACTAACTCAGTCTTGGTACCATCAAATTTAATTGAGAAATATCGGATATTAATTTGAGCAGTTCTAGTTTAATTAATTCTCTTTTGCTTGTCAAGATATTTTATATTTCAATCATCACTTTTCTTTTGAGGAAGTCTTCTGCAAAAGAATTCTTATTCATGGACTTACAAAGCTAATTGGAACTTGATCTGTGCAGGATTCTCTTGGTGGAAACAGCAAAACAATCATGATCGGTATACTTTTACATATGTTCTCATTTTATGGTTGGAATATGCAAGTATGACTATTTTAATATGTATGAACTGAACTATCTTTTGCTGACTAAATTTTTCATGTGTTGCAGCATGTATCAGCCCCGCTGACACCAATGCTGAGGAAACAATTAATACCTTGAAGTATGCAAACCGTGCACGGAACATTCAGAATAAAGCAATTGTAAGCTTCGATCTATAGAAATATTTATTTTGTAACTTGTTGTGGATGATCCAATTTCAAAACGAAATTAAAATGTACATTGTATGCTGAATGTTGCTCTTTTAAATTTGTAGATCAACCGTGATCCTGCGGCGGCACAATTGCAAAGGATGCGGAGTCAGATTGAACAATTGCAAGTAGAGTTGCTTTACTTTCGCGGGGACTCTAGTGCACCAGCTGAAGAAATCCAAGTATGAAATGCTCACCGTTCTATATCAGTTCATTTCAAACTTGTTTTCTAAGAGTCCATATTAGCTAAAATATATATTTGTAGGTTTGTGTAGAGTGATAAGTATTGCATTCTTGATTATATTTTTGATGTCTGTAACTTTTTGGATTACAGAATCTCAAGCACAAAATATCTTTACTTGAAGAAAGTAAAATGGAATTACAGGTTCATTTCTATTCTTGTCAAATTCATTGCTCCATGACTATGTTGGAGTTCAATGCATCTGTTGTATTAATATGAACCATGTGTCAGGTGGAAAGGGATAGACTGATTATGCAAATCGAATCAATTCAAAACGGAAAACCCATGAATGAGATTGACATCAAGTCTAATAAGGTTTGATTGTCATGGATGTCCTAAACTTTCCAGTATACTGATATTCTTGTGACTGCTAAACTTGTTGATCGATATTACTCTCTCCCTCTCTCTGTCTCTCTCTCATTCACTCACTCTCTCACTCCTTCGATTCTAATATCTCTTTTTTTTTAGGATTTTGATATGGTGAAGAGTTATATCATGAAGATTCAGGATCTAGAGTCTGAATTGATAAAGGTGCAGTGTCTAAATCAATCAAGACGTGAGGATTTTGCTGATTACCTTGATTCAGAAGATGATGGGAATCACTCAGGAAATTCGTGTATCATAGATGCTGATATGAGAACAGAAAAAGATGGTAAGCATCAGAAACTACATTGATATTTTTCTGCATATGCTATTTTAATAATAACTGTGAGCGTATATGAGTTCAAAATATCTTGCTGGAGGTCTTAGTTTAACCACTATCTATATTATGATCACCTAAGGTGATTGCTGCATAGATCAGATATTGAAATCTCTCGACAAATTGCAGGGATGGCCGAAGTTGTGGTAAAGGAACTTGAACATTTTTCTCTTCAAGAAAAATTGGACAGGGAATTAAAAGAATTAGACAAAAGACTTGAGCAAAAGGAGGTAAACATTAAACCAGAATATTCAAATTTAAAGAAGAATGATGGAGTCCTATTTGGTAGTCATGTGGTTAGGCAAAAAAGTAGTTTTTCATGAAGGGCACACAGAAGAAGAAAATTAATAGATAAAGTGCTTAGATTTATAGTAGTATTTTCTTAATGAATTTAGTAATGTATATTATGAAGATATTTCGTTTCCTTGTCAAACATTTTCCAAATTAAAGAAAACCTTTTCATCTGCATTTTATTATTTTTATCTAGCATGACATGGTATTAAGAAAAACTAGAACAAAAGATTCCCTTAATACACCATCTTTGTATTTTTCTTATTGCATAGCATTAATGTTTAAGAAGCCATTTGATTCGGCATTTAATCATATTTATTTAATTTGCTTAGAGAGAGAAAATGTTGGACTATCTTCGGTTTTCCTCATTAGCCTTTTCTCCTCGGGTATTCTGAGTTTGAACTAAAGAACTACTCCATTTAGGAATGCCCAGACAAGAAAAAGAATAAAAAATGATTTACAATAGATGGGTGCTTACAAGTCACAACTTTGTTCCACTCTGTACATTACGCCTTACTAACATTTCAATTAGAAATTTGGTCCTATCTAGTACAGATGATGGGCAATCACTCTGATCTTTACCTCTCATTTGTTGTCATTTTTAAAGGCTGAAATGAAGCAGTTCGTGGTTTCTGATACATCAATTCTCAAGCAGCACTATGAGAAGAAAGTTCAAGATTTAGAACTAGTAAAGGGTGCTTTACAGGTATTTCTCATTGATGATATCTTTGATCTATGATTTTTTTTTTCTTTTGATATTTTCCATTAGATGCATGTAGAACTGTTGTTTATCTATATTTTATTTTTCCAGAAAGAAATTGAAGAACTTAGGCGTAATCTTGCCAACATTTCATCTAATTCTGATGATAGTGCTCATAAGTTGAAAGAGGAATATCTTCAAAAGCTCAATGTCCTCGAGAAACAGGTGAATCATGTGAAAAATTTAATTATGCTATTAATATATTTTTTACTAACACCATTCTTTTATAGGTCGCTGAGCTGAAAAAGAAGCAGGATGCTCAAGCTCAACTATTGAGACAAAAACAAAAAAGTGATGAAGCTGCTAGAAGACTGCAGGATGAGATCCATAGGATAAAAACACACAAGGTGCTATTTTCTGGCATTGGCAACTTGCTGAAAAATATGCTGTTAATGTACTCCGTCTTATTAGTTCTACTCCTTTTTGCTTTAAGCTTCAATTACAACAAAAGATAAAGCAAGAATCTGAGCAATTCAGGCAGTGGAAGGCATCTCGAGAAAAAGAAGTGCTTCAGGTAATTGCATACTTGAAATCAATTCACAGTGACACTTGAGGTTCTATCCGAACTTTGTTGCTATTCAATCTGTAGTTCTCTGTGCCAGGCTGTCATTAAGTTATGTTGTTCCATTCCAGAAGAGTCTCTTTGTTTATTGTCACTCATCAAAGTTATGTTATATGTTCCTTTTTATAGCTAAAAAAGGAAGGACGAAGAAACGAGTATGAGATGCATAAGCTGCTGGCTCTAAACCAGAGGCAAAAGCTGGTAAGTTGAGTCTTTTATATAATTGGTTTATACCAGCTTTGAGTCTTCTATATAATTGGCTTACTTATAAAGATCTAAACTGTGAGATGTATTGCTTATTGCATGGCAGGTCCTTCAGCGAAAAACTGAAGAAGCTGCTATGGCTACGAAACGTCTTGAAGAGTTGCTAGATTCTCGTAAAGCTTCCCGAGAGACACCTGGTAACAATGAGACAGAATTTTTCTCTCTTAAGAATGTTTCTCATTTCCTATTTCATGATGTATTGATCTATTTTGCAATATATATGCAGGTGGAGGAAGTAATAAAGGTCCTGGAGCTCAGGTATGTGTTTCTACTGAGGGGTTTGTTCTAATTAAATATATATTTGTCCAAATGTCCAGTTGATCATAAATTTCTTGCCAGCCACTTTATATTGTTGGTATCTTTCTTTGTTGTCTAGGCACTTGTGCAAGCTATTGAGCATGAGCTGGAGGTTACTGTAGGAGTCCATGAAGTGCGGTCAGAATATGAGCGACAAATGAAAGAGTAAACGAAATCACTCTTTCAAAATTTTCCTTCTTTTTCTGTTTGTATTTTCCTTTTCTTTTCAGCAAGTTGGAAGGAATGAAGTAGAGGGATATTTAAAGAAAAAACAAATAAACTAAAAGATTCCCGAGAATTGATACCCTGATTGTAAACATGAAAAAGTTAGTATACCATGACCTACAAGGCTCGGGATAAGGACTTAATATGGGTTTTAAAAAATCTTCTCTTTTTCTTTTTTAATATACTTTGAAAAGTGAAATAACTACAGTTATGAGGCATTTATGATTTTTTGTAATAAAATCAAGGAAAAGGAAGGGCAACCCTGCACAAGGTATGGTGTTTGGTTTGGGCCAAACAAATATCATAGGTTATCTGGTGGTAGTAGTATGCCTCGTCACCCCTTTATGTGTATGCCCACATTGCGAATACAATGATGTTTTACGGGGATGTCATGTTTAGACCACGTTTTGTCAAGTAAGGAATAAAACTAAGTTGTGACTAGAAACGAGTCTAATGCATTGAAACTAAAAAAAAAAAAAAATGACAATGATGTTACTGCAAATTAAAGAACATTCTTGCTGTTATACTTTATGATTGTCATTTAAATCTTTAGCTGAAAATTAAATAATAAGATTATAAAATAAGCTTTTAATTACTGATTTTTATTTATTTATTTATTTATTTTGTATGCATGTAGGAGGTCTAAAATGGCTGAGGAGATTGCGAGACTCAAGGAAGAAGCACTTTTAGAAAAGCAGCACAAACTAAGGTATGAAATGATGAGTTGTTCTAAATTTTGTATTTATTCCTTTTCTCTATATATTTTTTTTTTTACCTTTTTTAGTATATTTGATTCAGATACTTAGTACCTAAGTACTTAACCGACTTCCTCCATTGTAGTGAAACCCCCCAGTCAATGTCCCCTGGTGCTAGAAACTCTAGGATCCATGCCCTTGAAAACATGCTTTCTACTTCTTCAAGTGCCCTTGTTTCCGTGGCATCTCAATTGTCAGAAGCCGAGGAGCGTGAGAGGGCGTTTAGTGGCAGAGGACGGTGGAAGAATATCCGTTCACTTCCAGAAGCAAAAAATATAATGAATTTCCTTTTCGATGTTGCATCCTCATCCAGGTAATTTGCATGTCTGTAGTAGAAAATTCTATTGAAGTCTGGTATTTTTAAATTATAGCTGACAATTGCTTCCTACTTGCCCTTTCCCGCAGATGTCAGCTAAAAGATAGAGAATTTGATTGTAGAGAAAAAGATTTGGAAATTAGAGACTTAAAGGAAAATTTGGTGGTGAGTTCTCTCTAGTTTAGCATAATAAATTTTATTCTTGTATATCTTTACCGGGTCAGATGCAATTCTTGTGAATGCACCCTTAAGGCATCAATACAAGATCTCTGAGATTATATGAGTCGTATTTCTACATGTTGAGTAATAACTTTGCCACTACTGCAACTACTTGATAGTATATGTTTCCTAGCAAGAAGAGCTTATTTGCTGCGAACAATTTCTTATAGAATAAAATTATATATATATATATATATATTTTACTGCTTATTGAATTTTTGCATTTCTTGGTTTTGACCTTGGAAATAAGAATACTATTTGGCTAAATTTCATTCCAGCTATGTATATCAAGAGCAAATAATTTCGTATGATGCAATTTCCTTCCGAAGTATTTTCTGCATGGCTATGGTATAAACTATAAAGCATGTAAAGCAAATAAATTCATTATTTTAACTTTGTTAATAGATCCTGTTATTTTTTAGATGCTTATCTGATTAATCTTTTAAATACCATTTTTAATTTTTAATTTGTGGGATATCATCGGTGGTAATGGTATTCAAGCTGTTCCTGAATGTTAATTATTGGATTTTCCTGTAGAAGTTGGCTCTAGAGAGACCTTCCAATGCAACAAAGGTGGGCTCTGGTTATGTCTTACGACCTAAGGTATGTAAATATGCTAAGTCATGCTATCATTTGTTTCATCTACATTGTGGATCAGTTGTCCACTCGACTTGTGTCATACATTTTACCACTGTTTGGTATTCATTTACATTAATATGTTTATACTTAGGGATCTCGTAACTCCTCAAGCAGTAGTGGAGATTATGAGTCCGAGCTACTGGAGGACATGGACACATCATATGAGTCGGAGGAAGATGTCGAGTGGGGACACACGGCAAAGAGAAAAGGTCGTCAAGCTAGAAGGAAGGGGAAACTGGTCGAGTCAATTTGTTGCACGTGCAGTAGAAATTCCTTCTGCAAGACGTTAAACTGTGAGTGTCGGGCCGTAATGGGTAGCTGCAGCAAAGCCTGTAGCTGCGGGCCCACCAAATGTAGCAATCGGAAGTAGTCTTCTGGAAATTTGTTCGAAAGAGATGAAAATGAGAGTAATAATGATGAACTTGCTTCTCATGGTGCAATGCTGCTTCAAACAGCTTTTGGAGTGACATGATTGTATTGTGGATATATGTTTGTTGGTAACATAGAATTTCCGTATAGTTCATTTGTCTGATTACTATGACATGACTTTAGAAAATTGACCAAGTTAGCCCTTATTCTTTTCCCAATTTTCTTGAATTTACTAACATTCAAATTTAGTTCTTGAACTTGTACCAATGATAATAAAAGCCATATTGAACATTTTAATAATAAATTTCAATTAATCAAAGTTCAGAAAAATGCCTAAAATCTTGCACAAACCAAACCTTGACACCAACAAAAAATGAATGACGAAACAATCTATCAATAACCCTCACTTTTTCCTTCTCTTTTTTAAGATTTCGTTTTGAAAATAATTGACAATCTTCTAAGTTTGCTTTCACTTTTCTTTCTCTTCTGGTTAAAGATGAAACAAGATGATTGAAATGAAAATTGAATAGACCACTAAACATAAACTAAAGTAACTTCCTTCGAGAATCAAACTCATCTAAAATTAACAATTGCAGCAAATTTCGAGATTTATTGTCTCATACTCAAATTAGACCCTCTCGACTTAGATTTGCAGTTGATATCTTTCAAATCAAGCTGCACACTCAACTGCAAAATAGTGTTTTTTTTTTTTTTTTTTTTTTTTTTTTTTTTTTTTTTCGTGTGCGTTAGCAACATAAATTATGCGTTTATATTTTGGAAAATTGTAGTGCTGCAAACGAATCGAATCGAACCGAACCGAGCTTGGGCTGTTCGAGCTCCTGTTCGTTTACGTTCGAACAGTGTTCGTCTTCGTTCGTTTATTTTTCGAGCAAAAAATCGTGTTCGAGTTTGTTCATTTTATTGTTCGTCAAAGTTCGAGTCCGTTCGTGTTCGAATAATTTAATACATAAAATTTTTTAAATATATTTGATTAACTCGAATTTTGTTCGTTCGAACTCGAAAAATAAGAGAATAAAATAACAATATTATTATATTTTAGATTTTTTATTAAAAATTTTTTTGTAAATATATAAAAAAGTGAATAAATTATATTAAAGTTTAGATTTTTTTTTTATAAAAAATATTATATAAATATATAAAAATAAAATAAAAATAAAATAAAATTATATTAAATTAAAGTTCGCGAACATAATCGAACGTTCACAAACGAGCTCGTGTTCGTCCGATTATTAAACGAACCTAATTTTTTGTTCGAACTCGGCTCGATTAATAGACGAACAAACTTTTGTCGACACGAACGAGCTCAGATGAGCTTTTGTTCTCGAACATTCGGTTCTGCAGTGAATAAATTTCACCCGGGCTCCTTCAACTCGAACCGGCCTCCGTACCTGCAGAACCCAACGCCGGGGGTGGCCCCGGCGTCGGGCCTCCGATGCTTAAGTCAGTCCTCATATCAAGAGAGAGCGTGTAGTCATCAAATGAGTAGAGAATGAGAGAATGAAGTACCTTGGCCCCCTTTTATAGGGGGAGTACCTTTTGGGCCCAAGTTGGGCTTGACCCCTATCGTTGGGCTTAGATGTCTTAGTGGGCTTATCCTTCAATACATATCCGCTTTATCTATTAAACCGGGTCCAGTATAATATCCTATATCATCTAGTCCCCCCACTCTGGTCGAGTAAGCATGACTCGATCCAAGAGTGGAAATTCCTCTTCGGATTGTTTCCGTCGACCTGCCACTGAGGTCACCATTTGAATAAATCCTCGGCCAACAAATAGTTATCAATCCTCCAAGTGAGCATCGGGACCCCAAATGAATACCGAATGACCACCAATATCAAGAATCGAGTGATCCACCACTGGGGTCGAACGCCAAGAATCGA